CAGGTGGTTACCAGTGAAGACCGAAGCAAAATATATATGTGTATATATATATAAGTGTATATATAATATATATGTGTATATAAGTATATATATGTAAGTGTATGCTCCTTAGTTACCAATTGCTACAGTTTCATAGATCCCTACTAGTAAAAATTTGGGAGTGGATTCTCTTCATTTGCATTCTAGCCTTGTAACTCTTAGTATTTAATTTTTCAGGTTCTTTTAAATTTTTTCTCTCTCGGTTTACCCCAGAAGTCTAAATTTTCACTTTAAAAAGCATTTGAGGATAACATTAGTGCAATTCCAGGAACTACAGCTGTGATTAAAAATATAAACCATTGAGATTTTTGACGTATGCTGTTATCGTTACTTTTTTATTTCTTGCACTGTGTGCTCAAAGTGAACGTGGGTGATGATGTCCATGTTGCATTGAGAGAACATGGTACTGAGCTGTGTGAACACATAGCAGGTAATAAAAGTCTGTATCATTTTAAAAAGGTTTTGGGTTTTTTTTAAATAACATTTATATGATGCCAACCATTTTGCTATTTTTAGCAGCTTGTTCCAGTAATTTAATTTCACATATGTGAAGTGCAAACAGTATTTTCCAGATTACAAGTTACTCTGGCTCAAGACTCCCCTTTCTTTCAAGGGGAGCAGGGAAAGTTTCGTTTGTTTATTTATTTATTTATTTATTCATTTATCTTTATAGTTCTGTGAACAGATCTGAGCATCCAAGAGGCAAAGTGAAACATCTTAGACTTCACAGTTTTGTGATTAATCCAATGCAAGTCAGCACTGCTGCTTAAAGGGGTATACTGGTGCTGCTTTTCTGCTGACATAGTGAATTATTGGAGAACTGCTCTGGTTGAACACTGAACAGTCTTTGCTAGGTTAGCATTCAGCCAGAGCAATTACTTGTTCCAGTTTGTTACTGGAGCAGTGGCAGTATGAGGAGGGACTTTTTAATGGAAGCACCAATTTACATGGGGTTGAGTTGAATCCATTACCCCTGCATTTCATGCTGATTTGCTTGCCTGTAAGGGGCTTTGTCACAAATTTTATGTTGTTTATTACAGTTAACAAAGTAAACTGCTGCAAGTTCTGTATCTAAAAGTGATTCAGAAGCTTCAGAAATAGCTATGGCTTTGGAATAATTTTCTTGTTCTTCAGGAGACCTAGGCACTGAACACCTGACAAATTGAATAAACATTTTCTTGTTCCTGCTGCTATAGCATCTGTATATACTAGGCCTGAAAGCTCAGTCTTATGTAGCTATCCCATGGCTTTGCGCTTTTCAAGGGATCCAAACATTTCTGTGTTTAGAAAACACACAAGTGATGTTGTGAAAAGCATTGTGGAAGAATATTGCGGAAGAGAAGAGTCTTTCAAATAGTGTAGGTATTCTTTTTTCAGGTTTGAAAGGATTTGCAATGAGTTATTTCCCTTCCCCTTCCTACTTTCATCTCGTGCTATAGTACCTTACAGTATAGTGATCGGCACCTAAGCTGCGTAATCTTACTCTAAGATTTCTTAGTAAATATGCAGGATGAATAACTGATTTTTACTCAGAACACTTTTGATAACAACTTTTAGAAGCCTTGTGAATTGTGAAGGTGGAAAACACTTTTTCAGTGTAATTTCAGTGAGAGAGATCAAGATAAGAACCGGGGAGAAACGGGGTTTCAGGGAACAGGATTATATGTCTCTGCCAAACCACCTTTATGTTGGCAGAGATCAGTGTTTCTGCAGTTGTCAGACTAGGACATGCTAAATACAAGAAACTTTTTGATTCTGGTTCACTTATTATTTGATAGTACCCATGGATCACCACTCTTTGATAGGTGGGACCTTGGCAGCTATAGCAGTCTTGTTTAAAAAAAAAAATGGGAACCAGGCTTCCATTCTTGGTAAATTTATAGGTGAGATCCCCAGAAATCTGGTAACGGAAACATGGGGGTCTAAAAAAAGGTGTTCCTTAGCTCCCTGAAGAGGTATAGCAGTATTCAGGCTTATTGCTTGGCAACTGCTGTTTCAACATTTCTCACCTGACTTTTTAAAAGACAGGTATTTCATGAGATTAGGTACTTGAAATTGTACTTGTGTTCTTTGAGCGTAGTCTGTCAGCTAGCTTTGCTCTTAATAGAAACTTGTGTTTCACCTCTTTAAAATCATACACTTAGTGAACATGGCTGGTGTTCGGAGAAAAACTCTTTCCAGATCTGGAATGTGCAGCTGAGCAGTGATGTGTATTGCCAGATCAGCTGATGAAATGTGGATTTGGATGTGTGATTTTTGTAAATGACTTCCAGATGTTACAGTTGCTAGCTGAATGTCTCAAGACTGCACTGTTAGATCTAGATTATGAAATGGATGAAATATGCAAAAGATAAACTAGTGACGCTATACTTGGAATAGGTTTCTCGAAAAAGAAAAAAGAAAAAAGCAGCATAATCCTGTAGTCAAATCGGTTATTAAGCTATAGCAGAAAAATATAGGTGTTCTTCATTAAGGGTACCTGTGGTGACCTTGAATGTTCTGATAGCTAGTACTAAGCAATTTTCTGTGTAGCTGCTGTGTTAGGGGCTTTGAGGTCTTCATCTCACTTAAACTTCCTCGTGCTAAAACATGACTGTTATGATACTAGAACTGAAATCCAGCTACCAACAATAATATCATTTTGAGTGGCAGAAGTTTATTCTGGAGCTTTCCTAGAAATTTAGTGAAATCTCTGTATAGTCTTTTTTATTATTATTTGCAAAAATTTCTTTAAAAATTTAAAATCCTCACACTTGTTGAGGAAAGGGGCTTAGCTTGTGAGCAAAGTGTTTAATTTTTCTCTTTTTATTTTCCCTAGGAAGTACTGACATAATCATGATAGAAGACAAAGGTCCACGAGTGGCTGACTATTTTGTAGTGGCAGGGCTCACTGATACAGATACTGCAACCCTCCTAGACCAAGAAATAAGTCGACATGAAACAAAGTCAACCGGTCCAAAGGCTCCAATTACTGACATTGCCGTGATAATTAAATCAGCTGGTGAAACTGTCCCAGAGGGCTACACTTGTGTTGAAGCCACCCCTACAGCCCTTCAAGCCAACTTGAACTATGGAAGTCTAAAGAGTCCTGAACTTTTTCTTTGCTACAAGAGAGGCCGGGACAAACCACCTCTTACTGATATTGGGTGAGATTTCTGTAACAATTCAGTTCCTTCTTCAGTAGTGGTCAAATCTTACTGTTCATAGATGATGATGGGAAAAGATGCGAGATGTGCCCTATACAGGACTTCTACTTCTTTGATTTGGATAAAAACATTGTAGTGTTAGTGACGATGTGACGAGAAATAGAAAATGGGCTATGATTGAGGGCAACTGTTACAATGATGGCAAAATAAGGAATATGTGTATTTTTTCCATATTTAATTATTAGATAAATAGTAAAGTGAAAAACATGCATCTATATGCAACATAGACAGTAAATTTAGTTACTTTCATTTATAAGTTTAAGCACATCAGATACAGTGTCTGCATACCCTGTATTTGACAGTGGAATCTTAGTAATGAAGGTAGTTACATGACAGGATCTCTGCTCTAAGGATTGTAATTCAAGTTGTATAATTAACCTGCTACATTCTAATTGCAGTTCATATTTGTCATCTAAACTGTATTCTAATAATCTTCAGCAAAACTGTGATTTTTAGAAGTCTTTTCCCATGTGTGTGACTGACACTGCAAGATAAGATTAACTGTTGTGATGGGAGTGACTGTGTAGAGCTGCAGCATGAAATTATTTGTTGAAGTTTTAGCAGAAGGAAGAATTTGTAGAGGGAGTGGTTCCTCAAAATGATTCCTAAGTCATCAGTGTTCCCTGTGTGCCCTAATGGAAGTGACTCTGCTGTCACGTATTTTCATGTTTCTCACAACTTTAAGAACTTGAAAGCTTGGTGAGATTTCGTAGTAAATATCTGATAAGCAAAACAGGGACATAGCTGGCTGAATAAGTGCTTCCCCAGCAGAGACACTTTTAAAAACTATTGGCAGAAAACCAGTAGTATTTGGCAAGTAGTATTTATTCTATATTTTGGTTTACACAGATCTCATTAGGGTGTCATACCTAACAAATTATGGCAGGCTTTTCTTTCTGAGCAGCGATGCATGTGAATGTTTTCCGCCTGCTCCTGCACTTCTGCAACTACATACAAGAGGTGGTTAGAGCAAGAAGTTTTTCTTTTTTTGTGTGCAAATTTCAGTGTGTTCAAATGAAAGTGGAGTTTGCGCAAGAGGTGTATATACAGTCTGAAGGCTAATTTATGCTCTTATTTATTTATGCTCCTTTAGTTAATGAACCAAGTGTAAAAGAATATTTTTTTCTTTGAGCCTTAAATATCCATTAAGTCAGCTGATGTGCTGAGTGGGCTTCATAGGTAGCAGAACACTATATCCCTTGAAACAGTCTAATCCATAGTCTTCTGTCAAGGTTGTTAATACATCTGTATAAAGTTGAATTATCTTCTAGTCTGAGCATTCAGATGTTTCTTGATAAATTTTTCTCTGTGTGTGTGTATTTCTACCAGGGCTATTTTTAGGGAAACTAATTAAAGAAATTCTGTTGGGAAGAAGAGGGAGATGGGGAATGCACACTACTGATTTTCTGCTGTTGTCCTTGTGTTTAGTATTTCTGTGCCCTCCTCCTCTTTCCTTCCTATTCCACTGTTTGTTAATCTGTGATATCTGTAAGCTGCTACAGTGCCTTTCTGATGTAGATGCTCACTTGCATATTATAGTTAGGCCATGTCCTATGCCTCTGAATGTTGCATTTGCTGTGGCTGTTCTTAGTTGGAAGCGGAAAGGTTTGATCCCAGGACAAGAGATCTTTAAAGTCCCTTTCCTATGTAGAGCTGTAAAACTTAGTATCTTAAGCTTATATAGCTGTAAAAATTTCAACTACTAATCATTCTGTTGCTTTTCTAACCAATATGTGCCAGAAATAGACAAGAACTGAGTTTTGAGATGTGTTTCAGTTTAGGTGCAGTGAGACTTTGAAACAAGCTCACCTCTCTCCATTTTACACACGAGTTAGGAATATGGGAGAGCTCCAGTGCTTGTCATACTTCCTGTAGAAAGAACAAATGAAAGCATATCAGGCTTCTTGTCTGAAGCAAAAGTTATTGTATTACTGAGTAATGCAAAAGTTAGGTAAATTGCATTGTGCAAGTAAAAAAAAATACTGTGGGGTTTTTCTTTAAGAAAAGAACTAGCACAGGAAGCTTTAGTTTGATTAGAGTGGTTCTGTGCTGGGGACCCATCTCATTCTGTGTATGCAGTGTCCAAAAATATCTGCAGGAGTACTGATTGAACAAATTTTTTTCGTTGCTAGACATGTATTTCAAAAATGTGAACTCAAATTTCAAAAGACATAATAGAAACTGGGACATGTTCTTAACAGCCAGTGTCTTCTGTTGTTGCTTAATATTTGTCACTAGCGTTGACAACTGCAATTGGCTGTTTGGAACAGCTTAGGATAATAATGATGGAGTTAATTCAGATAAATACTAATGGTGGTGTCAGTAGAAATAAAAATGTCAATCTTCTCTCTCTGCTCAACCCAATGCTTCTCCTCTGAGCCTCCTGCTGCTTAGTGTATTTCTTTCAGTTCCTTTATTACTGAATGCTTGCATACTGCCTTCTCTTATATGAGATAGGAAGAGTTATTACAAAGAGTTATTTTGTATAAAAGCTGTGAGAGGCAGAAATATGGTTGAACCTACAGGAGAGGTCAAGCTCAAGAGCAGCCACACCATTGCAATTTCCAACAGTCTGCCTATTTTTAAATTGTTACCCAGAAGCAAAATTTTCTGCGGTTTAAGGTTTTCAATTGAACAGCTGCAAGAATGTAATATTTTTCTTTTCTAAACTCCACTATCTGTTATATTGAAGTATAACTTTAAATAGTAAAACTCGTTATGAGAGAACTTCCATGTACAACATAAAACGAAGAGAAAAAACCAAAGAGATAAGATTTTTTGGTCTTTTTTACAAAGAAAGGACATAAAATCTAGAGTGAGTTACATCTTTCTTGAAGTTAAACTTTGAGGTAGATAGAATAGTGTGGCAAATAAAGTGTGCTTAAGATCGAGGCCAAAGTATAAGCAGGAAACAAGTCTTACCCTGCAGGAAGCAGGAAACAAGTCTTACCCTGATCAGCACTAATTAATCAAAGGCAGACACTGGGAAGTTGAAACAAGTAGGAGTAAAGTTATTCTCTCAGGGAGGACTTTGTATATACAGGGTGTCACATGAAATATTTCATGCATCATTTCTGAATGTTTTTGTCTGAATCATTAAAATAATTGTTTAATTTGAGCAATCCATGGGTGGTGTTTTTCTTTTGTTTTCTTGTTTTCTTAAATTCAGTACTATGCATGAGGTCAGGAAATGGTGTGGTTTTAATAATACTTCTACTGATACATGTGTAGAGGTGAGAGTTGCTTTCATTTTCTTTTTCTTTTGATGGAGGTGACCTGACTGTTACAGTGTTGAACACTGGTCAGTCTTTAAGTACCTTTCTGAGAATACTTATAAACCTATTAAATTGAACTAGTGGGATTGTCCAATTAATCTGTTTTTCCTTCTCAAAAGCTGTCAGCTAACATATTTCTGGAATAACTTTAAATTCTTGGCTTTTATTTAAAATACGTGAAATTGAAATAGAACTAAGCTAATCCCCATTGGGGACTACTCTGTTAATATTGTCTTCTGATTAACATAAGGCAGTGATGTGAAGAGTTCATGCAAACTCTATGCCCAGTGGGGGTGACCTGAGAGCAGCTGCCGTTGTAGTTGTTGGCTTTTTTGGTTTTTTGTCCTATTTTTTTTTTGCTGGGTTTTGTTTTTTTAACTTTATGAAGTAGGTAGCCTAATAAAATAGCAGAATACATGTTCTTCCAGAAGACTGTTTAGAAGTAATTTGAATAGCATGTACTTTCTCTGTCTTGAACTAGTAGGTAGTATATTAAAACCAATGTTGCAACTTGTAACTACTGCTATTAGGCCAGTTTTAAACCTGAGATTGTACATGGTGTAATGATCAGACTCTTTACACATGAAGCCATTAGTGAAGGCAAGAATATTGTCCTCCATGAACTAGCTGAATAGGTTTATATGGCAGCCTGATAGCTGCAGGTCACAAAATACAAAGTTTTACTTACTACCTTTATCCTAAATCCTACCATGTAGTGTGAGGATGAAAATTCATTTAAAGGTAACAAGTACGCTGTACATACTACAGAGAATCAAACAAATGGAATCATTGTTTATTTGGGTGTGAAATGGGAGATAAAGCTTGCCTTATCATAGTACCTGTGCATTAAAAATACGCAATCATGTGTGGTTTGACTTCCATGTTTCTTCTCATGGTCACTTCCTAATAGCTTTATGTTTGGGAAAGATCAGAGTATAAAGTTTTAGCTCATTTAACTGCTGAGAAGTTGTGAAAGATGGTTCTTTTTTTGCTGAGAATATGGTGATTTAAACTAGTGTTGTGGGTAAAAATTTCAGGTACCATGTGAATATTGCTGTATGGCCATGTAAGATATATTCTGCTTTCCAGAAGTACAGTCAACTGTAGTTATAATGTCTTACTTTTCTATGAACTGGAGTATTAGTTTGTGATTTTTTTCTTCCCTCTCCTTCTGCTCCACAAGGAATGTTATTGAAACTATGAATGCACATCATTACTGGGGTTTTTTGTTTGTTTGTTTTTCTGTAAAAATTCATTTAGGTAGCAGATTTCTTTTGTTCTTTTCCTTAAAAATGAAAAAAGAACAACAACAACCGAGCTTGAAATGAGTTTTCAGACATTTTAATGATGGAAATAATTTCTAAGAAATTAGCAGATATGGTGTCTGCTAGCAACTTAAAGCTTCCCTTTGCATTTAATTTTCATTGATAGGGCAGCATTCCTACTAATTCTATAATTAAATCCTTTTCAGTGCGGCTTAATTTTATTTTTCTGTAACTATGATTTGTTCCCACTGAGATTTCTTTCAGTATTTAAATATTTCTTAACAGTTGCTTTGCCTCAAATGGTGCATGATGAAAGATAATATATTAAAATGCACACCACAACATTGCAGTTATGACATAGAGTGCTAACGGATGGAAGATTTCTATGAATTTGTCCAAGACACTTCATATATGTTTGAATGTGCATAATGCTTTCTTTCCTTCCTGTCTGCAGAGTTCTATATGAAGGGAAGGAACGCATCATTTCAGGTTGCGAGGTGATTCAAGCTACTCCTTATGGTCGCTGTGCTAACGTTAACAACAGTTCAGCTTCTTCTCAACGGATTTTTATCACGTATCGAAGGGCTCCTCCCGTACGACCTCAGAATTCATTGGCAGTGACAGATATCTGTGTTATTGTTACCAGCAAAGGAGAAACCCCGCCTCATACGTTCTGTAAAGTTGATAAGAATTTAAATTGTGGTATGGTGAGTATTCAAAAGCTTGAAAGCTTGAGTCCCTTCGGTTTGTTTTATTTTTTTTTAAACCCAATAAACAAACCCAAACATTTAGCTCTTTGACCTCTTCTTAGCACTGTTTTAATCATATTCTGTCCCTAGAACATAATTCTTTCATTATGTATACAATGTCTGTGAGACTTCAGTTTTGTATGTCTTGTTGCTTTGATTTCCTTTCATGTTACTGCTTCATGCTGATTACTCACTACTCCAGTTTTTTAGTAGTGCATTGAGCTGTTGGTTGGGGTTTTTTTTGGTTTTTTTGTTGTTTTTTTTTTTTATTATCCCCCCAATTTAGATGATGCTGACACTTAGGATGAATCACAAATCCTTTTTTCGTAGTTATTAATAATGCCTATGTTACAGAGGCATGCAAGAATAACTATTGCTTATAGTTTCTTGAGGTACTTTTTATTCATTCAGTTTCCTTTTATTTAGTTTCTTTTGCGTTTACTTATTTCAGCCTGAATAAGCTACATTTTTTATCAAATGGTAAAGTGTGATAAAAATTTCAGGTGATTATGTTTAGAATTTCACTTCCACTGATGATCTTCCCATAGGAGTCTCCTTTTAAATAACCAAGAAAATGTGAAGCTGCAAATTATCTGCTTTGCTTTTCTGTGATCTTCTGTTAGAATAAGTCAAAGAGTAGTGTGGTGATGTGATTATTTTATGTAAATCCTGTAATCCATATAAAAAAATGTGAAGAGGTTGAATTCTTGATTTCATGATTTGGATGCACTCAGCAGCCACTAGTCATTTTAATGCTTTTAAATGTCTGCTTTTTTTGTATATTAAAATGCTTATATTTGATTTCTGTGCTGCCTGTTATCATCTTTACTGGTTCTAAGATGCAACTTGTGTCTTCCAGTGGGGTTCCAGTGTATACCTTTGTTACAAGAAGTCTGTGCCAGCTTCTAACTCTTTAGCATATAAAGCTGGTAAGTAATTTTAGAAGCAGACTGTTTGAACATGCTAACAGGAGGATTCAAATGCATTATTGAAATTAATAATTTTAAAATCTTAAGTGTTCTCTGTCAGAATTTTGCTCTTAGAACATAGCAGTTGAATTCAGCTCCTTATAGTGCCTTCTTTGCTCTCTTCACATTTTTCTAGGCAAAAAAAAAAAGTAATCCTTAATAGCAGTAGCATTGTTCTATATTAACTTAGTTCTTATCATGACAGATTTGGTAGCTTAGAAAAAGCAGAAAGCTTAGCAAGCATTTCAAATGTAACAAAAGACTTCATATTTCTTGTGTTAGTAATCATGGAGAAGGAGTAATTAAAAATTCCATTCAACCTTACTCATGTTTCTTTTATGTCTCACAGCTAATGCAACATCTTTCTTTTAATTTGAAAGTTAAATGTGTTTCTTTCTTTCAGTTTCACAGCTATTTATTTGTTTCTTATTTGATGAGAGTAAAAATTACTCTGAACAACAAATGACAAAAGTCTTTTAAGTCTGGCTTTTTAAAGTTTTTATTAATGCATTGTTTTAGATTTTTTTTTTCATGAAGGAGTCCAAAACAAACTTTCAAAAGATTTTCTGTTGTGCACTAAGCGCACCAAATTCCTTTGAAAGGAGTAAACTACCAAGTAGAATTGGAAAGCACAGATAACAAAGGTCAGCGTCCTGTAAAATAAGCTAAGATGAACAACAATAGTAAACCAATGCTGTGTACCTATTGTAGATATATTTCTGAAAACTGAATGAATAATTTGTTTAAGTTGAACATCTTGACTGGTTAGTAGAAAATGTGGACTGCTAGCTAGTTCATCCTGTTTTCAGTGGAGGTATTGCTGCTGTTTTTACAGTAGATAAATTATCACTTCATCAGAATTTCTTTGCAATTAAATCTATTCCAGTGCCACACTTAAATAGCACATACTTTTTAAAAGTGAAAAAGTTTGATAATTAGCTTTTACTACACTCACTTTTTCGAGTATTTGCCAAAAGTGAATACTTCAGTACTCATACACAGTTTTAAAATCATTGTTACTTGGATGATTTGGTCTTGTCAAAAAAGAGACTTTCGTCTTCTGCAGATGTAATCTGCAGGGCTGGGCCACCCACTAAACTTTGACAGATCCCTCTGTAATCCCCCCAGCACCCTCCCAGAGGAGGGTAACGGGAACCAGGGACAAAGACTTTGATGCTGGAAAAAAATCTCGAACCAGCTTAAAAAAAATATAAAATACTAACAACGACAATGAAGATGTTGAACTGTATACAGATATATAAATATGCAAATATATTCAAAGATACAAGAGAACTTGTTAATATGGAACCTGCACCTTCCAGACAACAACAAGGTCCCAAGCAGACTAGTCCCAGACTGGACTCAGTAAGAGACAGGAGTACTCAAGGCCAGAGTCCCGATGCCACTTTACAAAAAAAACAGAAAAGGAGGCCTTAGAGTGGCCATGCTGCTCCTGCCTTAGGAGGCAAGGGAAGACAACCTGTCGTGACAAACAGTGTTCCTCTGTAGAGTGAAAACAGGAGGCAGGAACACTAGCAGCACAGAGAGAGATGATGAATAGCTGCCAGCAATCCTTACAGCACAGCAGGCACTTAATGCCTGAGGACTTTTCGTAGAGGCACTTAGATACTGAGCACCATGGGAAGGAATACCATGGTTGCTTGATGTGGTTCACCTGACCCATCCTCTCCTCCCCATAGGCACAGCTGCCCCTCCTTCACCACTGTGATTGCTACCTGTGCCAGGAATTCAAGAGAACTTTTATCTTGGTGCTCTCCAACCAGGACAGTTATAAAGTGCAGAAAACTAACAGACTTTGCAGTATATTGTGGAAAATATATTGCTTACATTGTTTAGGGCTTGTGGAGCAAATGTACTTACTTTTCCTTCTCCCGTTCTGAAGGTTTAATTTTCAGATACCCTCAAGAGAACTATGAATCGTTCCCACTGTCAGAATCTGTACCTCTCTTTTGCCTTCCTATGGGAGCTACTATTGAGTGCTGGGACCCTCAAACCAAATATCCACTACCAGTGTTCTCAACATTTGTACTAACCTGCTCTTCTGCAGAGAAGGTAGGGCTCCACACGTTGACTACTCTTTGCTTTTAGTTCATATGGCTGCTGTGGAGAGAGGTAGGCATTGTTTCTTCTGTATTTGAGAAATAATACAAAATAAATTATTAAATACTTCCATTATAAATTTGTATTTCGTAAGGCTTCATGTAAGACAGAAGTAAATCAAAACAGGAAATAACTGGAAGAGTGTGTGCTGTTTAGCCTCATGTAAGTTGGGCACTTACACACACTGTGAGTTTTCGTTTTGTTATTTCCCTGTTCTTTTGAGTAAAGAGTGTTCACTTAGCATGTGTTAGCAGTGTTTAAGCTGTTCACGGTTTTCCTATGGCTACCTTAAAAGCCACTTCTGTGTGAATTTGTGTAACTGAGCTCTGTAGGTGTCTGTGGGCATGGATAGGAAAACAGTTACTGGAAAAGAGCAGAACAGTAATGTGTGAAAAGCTCTGAAGAACTGATG